TAATCTATGCATAATTATTGAATATGCTTTTGTCCTGAATGAGTCCAATATAATATTTTTTGTTTCTCATTATTTTCCTTTTCAATTTTTCTAAATTTAATTAAGTAATAAGTTAAAAATTAATTTTTATTTTTAATATAAATTTATAATAAAAAAATATATTTTTAGACCTTTAATCTATGCATAATTATTGAATATGCTTTTGTCCTGAATGAGTCCAATATAATATTTTTTGTTTCTCATTATTTTCCTTTTCAATTTTTCTAAACTTCATTATACAAAAACTCCTTTTCACTAACATATCTTAATAATTAAATTTTTAATATAAGAACGCAGTAACTTTTTTTATTTGTTACTTTATATTATAGATTTATAATATAGATAATTTTATTACCTTCACCCATATCAAAGTTTGAGTTTTGATATTTTTAACTTGATTGTCTCAAGTTATTAATTATTTAAAATACCACCTAAAAATATAAAAACTTAAATTCTTAAAGGTGAGAAAATTTTTCTTAACCACTAAAATACAAGACAATTTTTCCAAGCCTGTTAACATTGTTATTATACTACAAAATTTTTCCAAGCATGTTAACATTGTTATTATATTATTATACTTTTTTCTTAGGGGAACTCTCATACTTCATGTCAATTTCAAAGTTTTTCTTTTTACAAGAAGGGAAAAGTGAGATGAGAATATATATATAAAGAATGGCATGTTTTATTATTTGAATTATATTAAATTATAAAATAAAAGTTATTAAGTGTGATAGAGTCTTAATATCAAGAAATTTACTTTATTTAATGATTATGATTATATAATTTAATATAATCTAAATTGTACAATATTTATTCATATATAAAATGGAAATAGTCACTAATTTTATTTATTTAAAAAATTTAAGTGAAACATGTTTAATAAGTTTGTTGGCTATTGAGTATTGTTTAACATTTTCTTTATAAACAAAATAATTTTAAAGACATGCGTAGGCTTGAAAATCAATTTCAAAGTCCAATCCAAGTTCAAATAGGATTTAACTAGTCTTTTTTTGGATGCATATAACTTAAGCAAGTAAAATAAAAACTAAAAGAAAAAAGAAAAACGAGAAAAAAAAATGAAGAAAGAAAGAAAGGAAGGAGAATGGAACAAAGTCCAAATCCAAGAGGACCATGTATAGACAATAACAATAGTGAGACTCGATACGATAGGCCTCTCCTTACAATCTCAAAACCATCGAACATCTTCAAACTCTACCTGACGATAAGAAGAAAATCTCATTACTCCGCACTCCATCCAATCATTCCCTCCCTTGCTGTTCCCGTCCACATCTTCCCCCTACAGCCCGCAATCCCATAAGATACCCACAACCCCATTTTCTCCCTGTTGCTGCCCCTTCAGCAGCACCAACAAACTCATTCTGCTCTACTCTGAAGCAAAGGGAAGAAACGAAATGGCCTCCGCCACCGCTCCCACCACCCTTGCTCTCCTCAAAACCACTGCGGCTTCTTCCTCTGCCTCCCGCACCTCCGCATCCCTGCTGCGAGTTCCCTCCACGCGCGTCCAGAACCCAGTTTCCCTGCGTCACAGCATCGGGTTTGCTTTCTCGGTTGGGGACAGTGTGCTGTCTCGCACTGTCTCTTCAAGCGTAAGATCGGTCAGCGGGAAGGGATCGAGGGGAGTTGTGTCGATGGCGAAGAAGAGCGTTGGGGACTTGACGGCTGCGGATTTGAAGGGGAAGAAAGTGTTTGTGAGAACGTTCCCTTGGATGAGAACCAGAACATCACTGATGATACCAGGGTTCGTGCTGCCAATCCAACCATCGAGCATTTGATTCAGAATGGAGCTAAAGTCATTCTCTCCAGCCACTTGGTACGTAGCATTTCAAGATTTTTAGGTTTTTGTTTCCTCCACCTCTACTCTTTGTTCTTATCGATCTTCTTAACAACTCGAGGTTTTGTTCCCTCGATTTGGTGAAAGTTGATGTTTTGAACTTTCAAATTTGTGGCTTGATGCCTCTGAAAGTCAATCATTGAACTTTAATTTTGAGACTTTTAATTCAGTAAATTTTATTCCATTAGCTGAACTAATGTTGGGTTCATGTAATTCTCAGGGACGACCAAAAGGTGTCACCCCAAAATTCAGCCTGGTTCCTCTTGTACCTTGGCTATCTGAGTTACTTGGCATTCAGGTATGTTTATGATTTACGTGTCAGCTGAAGCCCCTGAACAAGAATGTCATAGCTTCATATTTAGAATTTTGATGTGGAGATTGATGTGGTTGTTCCTTGTTAATTGAACAGGTTGTGAAGGCTGATGACTGCATTGGTCCAGAGGTTGAAAAATTGGTTGCTTCACTTCTAGAAGGAGGTGTTCTTCTCCTTGAGAATGTTAGGTTTTACAAGGAGGAGGAAAAGAATGAGCCTGAGTTTGCCAAGAAGCTTGCCTCCTTAGCTGATCTCTATATCAATGATGCCTTCGGATTGCTGACAGAGCCCATGCTTCAACTGAGGGTGTTACAAAGTTCTTGAAACCATCTGTTGCTGGTTTCCTTCTGCAGAAGGCAGGATTATATGTTCTTATTTCCTGGCTTAGTTTCTCTGGAGATTTTGCAATGATTTTCTATGGTTGTCTTTCAGTAAATTTATTTACTAAGAAATATTCCTTTGATTCAGACGTTTATTTTAGTTAGAACTAATAATTGATCCTTCAGCTTCAAAAGTGTCAACAATTTTGGTCATTGGTTAGGATGTCTCTAATTCAACCACTTGGGTGTATGATGACCCAAGCAAATGTATTCATCATTTGGAATTTTTGTCTGAATTTGGCTGAATTGCCCTTCTATTGTTGCATTGCTTCAGTCCTAGATTGGAAATATTGTTTTTTTCTTAATTTAACTTTGGGTTATGCTATCATTGACTTCCTTCACACCTTATTTCAGGAACTGGACTACCTTGTAGGTGCAGTGTCAAACCCAAAGAGGCTATTTGCTGCCATTGTTGGTGGTTCTAAATTCTCTTCCAAGATTGGAGTCATTGAGTCACTCTTGGAGAAGTGTGACATACTACTTTTGGGTGGTGGTATGATGTTCACATTTTACAAGGCACAAGGTCTATCAGTGGGTTCATCCCTCGTAGAGGAAGACAAGCTTGATCTTGCCACATCCCTCCTTGAGAAGGCCAAAGCAAAAGGAGTATCTCTTTTGTTACCCACTGATGTAGTAATTGCTGACAAGTTTGCTCTTGATGCAAACAGCAAGGTTTGTTTCCTAAGGCCCTTTAAAATTTTATGTAACCCATGCAACCTTTTGTCCCTGTGTGTTGGTACTTTATGAGCATGGAATCAAAATAGGTGCGGCTCTGCTTATTGCAGGTTGTGCCAGCATCTGGTATTCCCTGATGGATGGATGGGATTGGATATGGGACCAGAGTCTGTTAAGACCTTCAATGAAGCTTTGGACACTACCAAAACTATCACATCTGGAATGGACCAATGGGTGTGTTTGAGTTTGACAAGTTTGCAGTTGGAACAGAGGTAACCACAAATTCCTTGGTTATGGCTTTAGTTCAAGGGATTTGTGTGTCATGCATGCATAATAATGTTTCCCTCTTCTTGTTTGTCCTTTTCTTCCAAAAGGAATGTAATAGATTAACTTTCCCTTTTCTGCATGTCCTTGCATGCATGAGTTGCTGTCCACACCCAACGTTTTTCAGGCTTAACAATGCTCAACCAATACTTTTGTCAACTTCAACTCTTGCACAATGCAGATTTACTTCATAGAGTCCATCTGAATTGAAGCCTGTTGAACTGAGAACTGACTATAGCATTTAGTAATTATTTGTTTATAACACTTGGTCACGTTGAGGATATGCCTATTCTTGCAGGCTGTTGCAAAGAAGCTAGCAGATCTTAGCAGCAAGGGAGTGACAACAATCATTGGAGGTGGAGACTCTGTTGCTGCAGTTGAAAAGGTAGGAATTGCTAGCATGATGAGCCACATTTCAACTGGTGATGGTGCCAGTTTGGAGTTGTTGGAAGGCAAGGAACTTCCGGGTGTGCTTGATCTCGATGAGGCTACACCAGTTGCTGTGTAAGAACAATTTTCTCATTCCCATTGACAATATTTTCTTCGACTTTGCATGGTGGAACGAGATGCCGTAGGAAGATATGAGTTCATGTTGTAATAAATTATACATTTAGGGTGTGTTTGGGACTGTGGTTAGGAGTTATTTCGTGTAGTTATACAGTATTTTTAGATATGTGTGTTTGGTAATTTTTTTTCAAACTGTTTTTTTCAAAAAGTTGCAAAAAGTTGCAGTAGGTTTATAGTAATTTTATATATAAAGTTAGAAGTTTTATTTTGAAACTTTATGACTGGTTTTTACTGAGAACACTTAATATTTAATATAGTTACAAAATTATATATTAAAATTTAATTTTATATAATTTAATTATATCTTATTTTATAATATTTCAATAATGGTAACAAATTAAAAAACTTAAAATATTGCACTTGGGCCTTCGACCTAGTGGCCTCAAGCCACCCATAAAGTACATCCTCCTTCCTTGAGCATCGACCCGAATTCAGTCTTTTGCAAATTTATTCAAAAAAAAAAAACTAAAAATATTAAAAAATAATAAATATTATTTATTTTAATAATTATATATTTTATAATATTATTTTAAATTTTAATTAATAATTAATAAAATTTATATATATTTCATTTATAGTATTTTTAAAAAATAAATAACCAAATGATATAATAATTTTTAATTATAATTATAATACAGTTTAATATAATTACAATTACATCAGAGAATCCAAAACGCACCTTGGTCAGTGGTATAATGTTGCAGTCTGCCTACCCTTTTCTCTATTCTGACTTGCTAATCTTGTCACAAGAGAGTACGAATCAGCAGATTGAGCCAGTTGAGCTGTGTTTCAAATCAAGTTAATGGTTTTAACTTATTTTTTCCTACATCGAAATCTGCAGCACCATCCCTGTGATTTGAATCCTGTTCGAAATTGATATGCAGTTTGCATTTTTAGCTCAATGTTAATGATGCATTCGGTACTGCTCACAGAGCCCATGTTTCCACAGAGGGAGTGGCTAAGTTCTTGAAGCCCTCTGTTGCTGGTTTTCTCATGCAGAAGGTATGTTGCTTCAAGTACCATAACCTTTTTCATGGTATATTTTAACTATTATGAGAATGGAGTTTGCAGATTCCAAGCCAAGTCATGGCATGTCTTTGCCCTCTAGAATCTGATGGTTTCCTTTCATTGGTTACTGTCTTCCATATTGAAACTATTTCTCAGCATAAACTTAGCTTAGTGCTGTGGTTCTTTCTATTACATAGATGGAAACCTAAATTTTTTGTTTAATTGCAGATTTTTATTATCAACATCTGTCTTGTTAACTTTTTTTCTGATTTTAGGAACTTGATTATCTTGCTGGAGCTGTGGCAAACCCCAAGAAGCCATTTGCCGCTATTGTTGGTGGTTCAAAGGTATCAACCAAGATTGGGGTTATTGAATCTCTCTTGGCTAAGGTTGACCTGCTCTTGCTTGGCTAAGGAATGATCTTTACTTTCTACAAAGCCCAAGGATACTCAGTTGGATAACAGCAAGGTATATTTTAACATACATTTCTATTTCATGTTTTCCCGCTTCTTTTTGGAATTTGGAAGGGGTTGGAAGAAGTAAAATTTGTCTCACAAAAGAAGTAGGAACTATATGACCTTTGAGAAAGATTTTCTTTCATTTGCTGTTCTAGTTTGCATGAATTTTTTTTCATCTGAAGTTCTAATCCTATGTTCTGCAGCTTGTGCCTGCATCACAAATTCCTTATGGTTGGATGGGGTTGGATATTGGACCCGATTCCATCAAGACCTTTAGTGAAGCTTTGGACAAAACAAAGACTATCATCTGGAATGGACCTATGGGTGTGTTTGAGTTTGACAAGTTGGCAGCTGGAACTGAGGCATGTGAATCAGCTTCGGAGGTTGGTCTGATATTTGAATGCTTGGTGATGATTAAGTACTTGTTCCTGGATATTAAAAATTATTCAAGACTTCAAGCACACTTCTGCATTGAATCTTAGTCTTTCTTGACATAAGACTGGTAGTTAAAAGTTTCTATATGGTGGCATTGAAGTTAAAAGATGCTGGCATTGAAGTTAAAAGATGCTTACTTAACTTGCAGGCAATTGCAAGGAAACTTGCAGAGCTTAGTGGCAACGGGGTAACAACAATCATAGGTGGAGGTGACTCTGTTGCTGCTGTTGAGAAGGCAGGACTCGCTGACAAGATGAGCCACATCTCCACTGGTGGTGGTGCCAGCTTAGTGCTTCTTGAAGGGAAAACTCTCCCAGGTGTCCTTGCTCTTGATGATGCTTGAGCTCTAAAGTTTTGTGCCTCCTTGTTTTGTGAATTTTCATTTTACTTGAATGCGGCTGGTTTTTCAGCTCAAACTGGAGTGATGATAAATGTTTCTTTACGAGGTGCATTGGGATGTATCTGTTTTGCTCCAATTTACACGACTTAGCAGGTCGTGCGGAATCGGTTTTTTTTAACAATTCAGATAATGTGTTTGTGGTTATAGCATTTTCATTAATTCTTCGTCAAAAAAGACTTGCTTATGCTGAAAATATAGTAAAAATAATATAGTTATAATGTTAATACAATACTACCTAGCATCGTAACCATATGGGGGTGTCTACAGCTACCGGGAACAACTGCAACATAGGCTTTCGAATAAGTTTGAATTGAGATCAACGAACTTTTCGAGCAAGACTCGAGATCGGAAAGATTTGGTTCGAAAGTTTGAGTTGCTCTGATTATAATTTTTACTGTAAAATAAATTTGGTTACTTGGGGACCATTCCTGAAGCAATCCCTAACTAAAGAAACAGATTTGACTCTGTTGGAACTAAATTAAACGCCAGCACAATATTGGGGAATTTTATTTAAATAAAAATTTTTCTAAAAAATCCTTCACTAGATCCCTCTAATCTGTCTTTACTCTTAACCATTCGGCTGAAGAACAAGAACCTTCAAAATACACATTGCTGACAAATACCACATCCATCCTGTGCATAAGCGAAGCATGCATTTTCATTAAGCATTTCATGGAACAGGTCCTGCGCCTTCCAAAATACGAATCGGTAATGCATGCTAGACCCAAAGGCATCAAAATAAAACTCCCGTTCGGCAGACGAAGAAGCTCTTCCTGCCCATTGGCTTGTGTAGATTTATCTTTATGGCAACTTCATACAACCCTGTTCTGAAAGGGTAAAGGATGCTACGATTAAACAAAGTCACATTTTTTGGTTGTGAACTTGGCTCTGAAGTTCTATTTTCAGACCTGAACTGACTACTTTTTCAATCTACTAAGCATTTCATCAAAGAGGTGATGCACATTTCACCAAAACACATGCATGTCATCTATGCACGATATTTGCGGTGATAACAAATGGTTTTGTATGATTAACATGCTGAGGCATCGTTTTTCTAATTTCAGATTCAGATGGATGACTTGCTGCAGAACCACCTCTTCGCAACGCATGCAATTGCTGCTACGGGGTCTGTGACTCTAGGCACTGCTTTTACTTACCCCCTGACACCATTAAAACCCTTGACACTTCCTGCTTTAGTTTCTTTACTAGACCTCTTGCACTTATAACTCATGAGTATGTTTTAAACGGTTTATGAGATTTTTTTAGATTTTTAGTCGTAAAGCTCTACATTTTTGTTTCTGTACTTAACTGGAGGTGAACAGGTTAGTTCAGGTTCCAGTTCAACATCAACTGCGTTTCAGATTCTAAACAAAGTTCAAGCTTTTATCAGGAAATTCAGGCTAGTCCTTAAAAAAGAAGGCTGTCATGTAGCCAAGCTCTCCCTCTTTTAAATTCAACTAAAAACTAGTTTGAATTGTTTGTTTCATAGCTCTTTATCTGTTTCATGTGGTTTTATTTGTTCTTGAACAGTTTAGGTTTATTCATTGGTTTTAACTGGTTAGCCTGGGGGAGAATATTTGGTTTGGGAGCTTGCTTTGGAATCTATGATGTTTTGACAGATTTCTATAAGGGTATTCTCTTCATTTCAGTTTCCTTAAGTTCTACAAGTTCTGTTATTTTTCTGTTACTCCGATTTTATATGAATGTTCAATTAATGTTGTTAAAAATCATCTAGATGAGATTGATTTAGTTCATATTAGTGGCACTTGTAGTTGGCTAATACTAATTTTTCAATTAGAGAGAACATGAATTAATGCCTGTAAAAATCAGTTTTTTAGAATTATATATGTTACCTAATTGTGACTGCATACTTTTGTGTCTGTAGCATGTTAGCAACAAGAGCAATTTGTTATAAATCAAGTAATTGGTGGTTATGATTTCTGTCTTTGCAGATGGTTGAGAAGACAATTATGTCCATGTCTCTAAGGCCCTTATGGCTGGGACAGGAGCTGGTGCCATGGAGTCAATGATAAGCCCTCCATTTGAACCTATTAAACTTCGTGCACAGGTAACCTCTGCCTCTCGCATTCCAGTCAGAGCTCCAGTTAGAGAAAATAAAGCTGTTGCTCCAGTAATTGCCAAACTTCTACCTGGGTATATTCTGGATATGAAGGCCTTGAATCAATCTGTTGGTCTTTTATCCATATTAAACAGCAAACATCCTAATCTTGTTGGTGCCTTACAAGAGCATCCTTGTATGATGACGGGGTCAGGGAAGCCTCCTTCAGTTTATGAAGTTTGGAGGCCATCTGAAATTGTCTCTCTAGAAGGATGGGATGCATTTTGGAGAGGTTTGCGTTCAGGAGTTGTTCAAGATTCAATTTTTGGTGGCATTTTTTTTTTTTTTCACTTGGCAGTTTCTACACCAGGTAATGCTTGGTTGGAAGGCATCTGGGATGGATCCCTTACCGAGGTTATATTCCTTCTTTATTTCCCCTCCATTATGCCGCAAAAGAATTGGGATGCAGAAACTTTTACTTGATTTTGTTAATTTACTTATTTAGATCCACCTTTTTTCTCATTTGACTGGTAGTATTCTTGTCTTGTGTATGATCTCCTTAACCTATCAGCTGTGAACTCATTCTGCTTGATCTCTCAAAAAGAAAATTTTTAGGGTACTAGCTTCTGTGCCTAAACTTGGAATTATTTTTATTGCTTTCCCTTCAGGTCTGATGAAGAAATCCACTCTCTCCTTTAGTGGTTAGTCTTGCCGCTGGTTTTTCAGGTTCAGTTGCTGCTGTTTCTTCTCATTGTTTTGACACTGCCAAAAGTCGATCACAGTGCATTGTGCTGCCCAAGGTATGGCAACTGTTACCGGAAGGTTATTTTGCTTTTAGTTATATACTAGAAATAGTAGCTAAGGTGTCAATTTGACATAGCAGTTTTGATTATATCTAGACTTGACAAACAAATCGAATTGGGTGGGTTTGGATTGGGTCATCTCGGATCTTGAGTTGTTCAGATTGGATTATTTCAAGTGTCGGGTTAAGAAAGTTGACCCATGACTCGCTAACACAGGTCCTGAATTGGGTCGGGTGGACTCAATTTTTAAAAAGTTAAAATTAATATTTTTCTATAGTTTTCTCTATTTTTCTTTAACAAAATTTAATACTAATTAACTATTTAGTTAAAAAACTTTATTACTAATTAACTATTTAATTAGAAAGCTTATTAAACGTTAATTTTCATTTCATAATTTAATTTTTTTCCAATCTCAAGAAAAGAGAAGGAAAAGATTAGTGATTATATAAGATATATGTAAAATATATAACACTTATACAATATTTAGAATTCATAATTTCATAAAGGTATTAACCTTCATTACAAGAAGAGACATGAAGGATTAAAGTTCAAAAGACAAATCCAATACATATATCAATATCTAGTGGCTATTCAATATTTACAAGAGTATTATATAAAAAATACAACTCTATTGAATATTTAGAAGGGCATTTTACAAAAAAAAATATAGCTTTATTTAATATTAAAGTTTAAAAGGTAAATCCAAAATATGTCTAACTAAATACAAGAAAAAATTGGATCAAAATTGATTTTTATTAATTAGTAACAAATTAGCAACTAAGAACGGATTTTAATGTTCTTGATGTTCTTGATGTTTTTGTCTTTGTACTTCTAATGGTTATGAGGGTACCTTAACCCTTGGGTTTTGATTTTTAGTAGGCATTCTTGCTTTTTATTTTTAAAAAATAATATCTTTTACGATGTCATATAACATAACTCACTATGTGCTACCTAATCTAATTTTTTATGTGAGTGCCACTAAAGAGAAGGATTAGAGAGCTTAAGATGAAAAAAGGGAGAGCGAGAGTGGAGAAGAGGAAAAGTTGAGAGAAAGTGAAATTGATGAAAAATTAGGGTTTGAGTATTTTATTTATTTCTACTTTTGAGATTAAGAAATTAGAAATTTAAAATTAATTTTTAAATAGTCTAATAAAAAATGAATAAAAAAAGTTCAGGTCATTTCGGGTGACCCGATCCCTTCATGACCCAATCCACCCGTAACCCAACTCATTTGGGTTGGATAATTTCAGTCCATGTCATTTTGAATTTCGGATTAATACATAAGACCCATAACTTTACCAATAATGGATGAGTTGAATCGAATTTTCGGATTGAGTCCAATTTTACCAATTCTAATTATATCTATCAGGTTCTTACTGAAAAAAGAAAAGGGTTTCTTTTTCTATATTATGTCTAAGTATAGGTTTTTATAAACAGTTGGCCTAGTACACAATGCTTATGTTTAACGATTGCTTTTCTCTTTGATGGTACAAGGTGTAGCACATCTGCTGTAGCTAATTGAAAATGTGCATCAGTGCATGCTCCCATCCTAATGAGATGAGGTACAAGTTTTAGGTTTTTGAACCTCCATATTTGCTCCTACTTTTACCCCTGGCCTGTGGCCTCATGTAATGGATAAAATCGACAGTTAGGTTTTCCTCATCTTCTGGCACTTAATAATAAGTAGTTTTATACTTGAGCATTTAAATTCTCGGTGTTAGACTGTTTTTGTATGTACAGGAGAGTTTAGAACAGTGTTTTGAACAATTAATGTATAAGTTGAGCGCCTTTTTATTTCCTCATAGCATATTGCAATAGAGAGAAAACTTGCGAAATGGAGAAGGCCAGGAAGAAGGTTTAAAAGACTTAACAAGAATCCACCTTACAGATAGAAATCTCTTGTTACATGGCATTTGGTTGCAAATGGCACGCAGTGGGATTGTTTCATTTGTGATTGTTGGAAGTTATTTCTTGGCTATTGACAATCTTGTTGGAAGATGACTCATTTCAGCTGAAACATCAGATAAATCATTTTAATAGTTGAGTCATTCTGTTCTTCACTAGAAAGAAAGAATGGTATTTGAATTGTCAACTCATTTTTACTTAAGTCTGATTTGGGGATTCCTAATTCTTTATAGTTCGGGTTAAATATAACATGCTAAACTTTGTTCTTTACAGCAAGGTTTTTAAAATCGGACCGGATCGGTCAGTTGAACCGATCGGACCAATACTCGGTGATGAAAACGGTTCGATCTACATAAGAAAACCGTTTGATGTCAAAACTGGTCAAAGCTGGTTAAAATCAATGAAAACCGATGGAACCGAAAAATCACCGGTTCGATTTCTCATGCAATCTTTCCAATTTCACCCTTCCCATTCCTTTCTTATACCCATTTTAATCTTTAATTTTAACAAAATTACAAAATAATCAACACCAAATTAGAAAATCCATGCCTACAGCTTGCTCTTCTCATCAAATCTTCCTTGCTGTTTGGACCGACCGATTCACCAGTTCAACCGATTGAACCGATTAAACCAAAAGCCGAACCTGAAAACGGTTCAATGACTGGTCCGGTTTTAAAAACCTTGCTTTACAGAGAAGTTTTTGCTTTGGAAGGTAAAACACACCAAGAGTGATGCTATAGTGGTGCCTACACCCGAACTCTTAAAAACAAGGGGGGGGTGTCAGTAATGGTAGGAATAGCAGTAGGGAATTAATCCCCCGTTAAACACGTGTGGCATATAAATTCTGTCTGTCTCTAGTCTCTTTGGTAAATAAAGGTATTGAACCAGTGGATTAAGAAAATAAATATTAAATCATAAAGATTTCGATCATGGAACTTGGGGGAAATCCAACCCAAAAGAATCTAATTAAAATAAGTTAAAGATAAAGACACAAAACAACATGCTTTTTGTTGTTATTGTGGACTTGCAAAAAAGCATGCTTAACCTTTAAACAATTTTTCTAGTTCAAAACTAACTAATAAAAGAATCAAAGAAAAGAAAATTCTTGTAAAATATAATATAACATTATCACATATTGAGTAAACTTTTTGATAATTTTAACTTTCATAAAAACATATGTAACTACCATAAGATGGATTTTTTCTCTTGCAAATGGATGTCTCTTTACAACAGAAAACACCCAATATTCCATGTTGTTTATAGATATCTACCTCAAAATAACATCATAAAACTGCAGACTACTCAACATCTTATAGGTGCATTAAAAAAAAAAATTCCGTTGAGGTGATGCATGCATTCAAGGTGAACCAAAAATAAACCAAAATACGTTGAACTGCTTTCATTTTATATCTGTTATAGAATATTCATACTATGATTATGTTAATTACGTTCACATTGCTATGATTATATTCACATTCTAATTGATTAATATAACTAAATTAACTGATTTTATATTAAAATATTCTTTTGTGCAACCTAACTATAAATTTGTGTTTTGTATATTCAGTGAATTAAGAAAACATCACCTTTTCATTTTTTTCTCTCATCTTTATTTTCTCACAGTATCGGTAAAAAATCCTCCTCTTCTTGAATGATGAATTCTCAATCGAGATCACAACCTTTCCAAGCTCGTTGTTCCTGAACAAGTTTTGAATAGATTCTTCCTGAGTTCTTACTCTTCTTTCCTTTTGAACAATGACGGCATATATATGACTCTTTATTTTTCGGGACAAATTCTTCCTTGTAGTTCACTTCCCACCCAAACCCCATCGGGTCCCAGACTATATGACTCCCAACTTGTTTTCACCAAAAAAATAGAAGGAAAAGGAAATTTTCAAGGGAAACAATGTAACATTATTTGAAAATAGAAATTAAATAGTCCACTTACCTCTGGTGCACTAAGCTCAATTGATTTTGATGATCCTGTCTTGACAAGAGTTTCTGTTGCAGTGTCCTCTAGGGAGAAATCAGGGTCATTTTCCCACTTAAGTCCTCCATATTAGATAGGTATTTCTTCTGCAAAAATGTACCTAGAATGACGAGTTAGTGCAAGTCTAGGGAAAATCAGTACCTTGTGTTGCAAGAAATTGGGAAAATTGGTCCTTACTTGAGTAGTGTTTCAGTAACCCTGGATGGTCTTGCATAGACAAATTTGCTCTTGGTTCTTGTGCTCAAGAAAGGTGATAATAGAGTAGTAAAAGCATAATACCAGAAGGGAACATAGATAACTCTTTGCTTGGCAGATAGCCCGACTTCCTTCTCAGAAGGCCCTAGAGTGTTCTTGAGATCACTGAGTTCCAGAAAACACGAAACCCAAGTAGGACTGAAATCAAGCTTCTGAATTCGTTTCTCCATCACCTGAACTCTCCACCTTAGGAACCTGTTCCATTTCTCTTCTGTGCTCAATGTCTTGTTGTGCATCTTGTCACTGTCAAGTACTCCAAAAATGTTGTAAAATACAGGATGGCCTTCTTTATCCTTCCTTGCCACTAAGGTATGCCAAAGTGGAGAACTCCTCAGCAAAATCTTCTTTTAGGATTGAACCTATGTTGCTTTCTTTTCACCATTGAAATGTGTTTCTTAGCATGTCAAAAGCTTCACCAGCCTTGTAATCTCTAGCCCTCAAGAATTTCCACAGTAAAACATCAGTGGCCTTATCTCCTTTGCTAGGAAGTAATGGTATTCTTTTCTTCCTTTCCTTTCTCTTCTTCTTCTTTTTTCTTTAGCTCTTTCTCCAATCCCTCTGCCTTCTTACCCTCTTGCTTCATTTTGAGAGCTTCTTCAACAACAGAATCAAATTTCTCCTTTGTTTTCCCTTTCTCTACCACATCATTTGGCAATGATTTCTCCTCCTTGAAAAGCCTATTTCCTTTTACTACATCTTCAAGTTTCATTTTGATCACTACTAATGCCATCTTTTCACTTTCTTTTAATTTAGGGAAAAAGGCTATCCTCTTCCTTCAGTGAACTACTATTCACATCAACGTTACTTGACAAAGCACCATCCTTTTCGCCTTCATTCTTCTTTTTGTCATGTTTCTTTGACTCATCAATTTCCCTATCACCCTTCTCATCATCTTTCTTTTTTGGGCAAAATGTAAATACCCTTCTCATCTTTCTTTGTTCCACCACTTTCTTGATCACCTCTATTCTTTGATCTCAAATTCATCATCTTCTTGATCAACTTCGTCCTTGTTCTCAACTTCTTTGTTTGGTTCTTCTTCACCCTTCTTATCATCATCCTTCATTGATTCATGTCCTTGTTCTCAACTTCTTTGTTTGATTCTTCTTCACCCTTCTTATCATCATCTGTCACGCCCCAAAACCCAATTTCGAGACACGACAGACGCCGTGCACTCGTGAGACGGGTCCCACAAATGCACAAGACTCGGAACTTATCATATTCACACTTTGATACCATCAAAATCTGAAGATCAAATTATAAAATCTCTCTGATATCATAAATCTCCAAATACACTGGTTTACAAGATCATGATTTATTTCTAAAATTTATATCCAATTACAATATGGCTAGCCTTCTAACTCGTCACTTCCCGTGGTTTCCCCATCCTCGATTTCACTTCCTCAAATGGTGGACAAGGAAAAACTATGAGATAAACTCAGTAAATAAATATGGAGTGCCCCTTATCAAACTTAAAGCATGCCAACAAGTACAATCACGAAAACAAATACAATACGGGCACGAAATAGACGTCTCCTCTATAGGTCACGGCCAATGTATAATCCCCACTAGCAGGGCCACGATTTGCTGGTGTATAACCCCCACTAGCTGGGTTGAACGAACCGGCTCTATCACTACATGTCGACATGTGCTAGCGTTTATAACCTCCCCCACTAGCAGGGTCACGAATAACATGACCACATCGGAGACAAAACAGGCAGAAGTTAACAGGAAAATCACAAATCACAATCACTTTCAGATCATCAGGACAGTCACTCAAATTTCAAGTAGGCATGCTCAATTTCATGAAAGCATAAAACATTTCACTTTAAATCAGTCATGCTCGTGTAAAACGGGTTTAGTCCCGCCACCACTTCAAAAACAAATCAAAACATGTTTTTAAAACAGTACGGGCATTACCATAAATTTACTTACCTCACTTGCATAAAACCGAGCACTCAATTCACGTACTAAACTGACATGATGATCAAGAACCTAATCAAAATATCCACAATTAATACCGGACTATCACAAATTCAAGCTGAAATCATCATTAGGATCATTCCTAATCACAATGCTATTTCTATCACTTTCCACATGATCGGACATCTCCAAATTCGTTCTCATATCACAAACTAATCATTTAAATTCCCGTTAAATGTTGGCCCTCGGGGTGTGAACAGTAACCGGTGAACAGTGACCCGACGTGAACAGTAACTCAACTCCCACAAATTGGCCAAAACACTAACTAATCTCACGGGATTTTCTCTCCAAAAATCACAGCAATCAACTCAAGCAATTTACACTTAAACCAAGCTTACAACATGTTCAAAGGCTACCAGAATTCCTCCCTATTTTTCTAGCATAATTCGGACATACAAGGCAGCAAACTAAATGGACAATTTAAGCCTTAAAAGGCTGTCGCATACCAGAATTTACAAGCAAGGAACCGGAGCTAGCAAATTGGGGAAGGCCGGCGGAATCTGCAGGGGGAAGCTCACGGAACTACCCAAAAATTGGAGGAACAAGAGCAATCAAAGTTAACCCAAGCCAATTCAAGCAAGAACAAAGGAAATTAGGGGCTGTTCTTACCGAAAATTCAAAGCAATTCGCCCCCATAAAGCAGGAGCTGCCGGCGGACAAGAGAGGAAGGACAGAGCAGATCCAGGTTTTCCAGCAGGGGGAAAGAATTTCTGGGTTCTACATGTGTTCTAGAGCAAGAAGAGAAGGAGAAAACCAAGCTTATCTCATCGGTTTCTTAAAGGCATGGCTGGGTTCCCCTTTTTTTTTTTGCTCCGTGCAGGGGAAGAAAAGAAGGAAAAAGGAGAAAAGAAATAAGCCATCCTTATCCAAATTCTCCTCTTTTAAGTCCCTCAGCTTTCAAAATATTCACATTAGGCCCCAAAACAATATTTTCTCACAATCAAGTCCTTATCTTACACTTAAATATTCCCCAAAAATTTGGGATATTACATCATCCTTCATTGATTCACGTATTTCCTCATTAATCTTCTTCAATTCATCTTCCTCTTTGACATCCATAACAATTTCTTCTTGGCCTCTTTGAGCTTTATTCCTGTCTCCTCATCAGGTTGCCTCTCTTCCTTGTTGTTGTCATCACCGTATTCCTCTACACCCTTTGGATTCTCTAATCCACCATTTTCCTCCTTGCCATCCGTCCTCACTTCATTTCCTTGTAATTCTGCTTTAACTTCATTATTAACATCCTCACCTTTTCCCTTCAAATCGCCATTTCCCTATTCCCCATCGAGAACATTTTATGATCCTTGAGCACTTTCCTCCTTCATATCACCCTTAACCAGCTTCTTCTCTTGAACATAATTACTTGCAACTTCGGCCATCTGGGTATTCTCCAATCTTCTTTCTTCACCAACCATTGCTAAAACTTCTTTTGTTGAAAAATTTGGAAAGAAAATGAGATATGAGGTCAAGAAGAACACAGACTTGTTAATGCTGCCCTCGCCGGCAATGTAAGTTAATAAAAACTTGTGGTACAAAAATTTTACTAGAGATTATTTAACAAAAAGGTCGAACAGATGTTTGTGATTTGGAAATCCCTTGATGTCCAAGTCATGTGACCTTTTTTGACCTTAACTAACAACAATAATATGAAGCTATGTCAAGCTTCTTATTGAACATTATCCACAAACTTGTATTAATTCCTCCATATATTAAAGCAACATGTGCTTACCATTATATTCAGGAAAATTTAGGAAAACAGTTTCTTAGGTGAAAAAACAAACACTTGGGATTTGTTAATTATGATACTTCTTTTGTCAATAGTAATCTTTACTTGTTTCAACCCTCTAATCACCTCTAAGCTTTATTTATTAATGTTGTGCTGTAACTATAAGTTTTTTTTTTTTGTCTTTTACTATACTAAAAGTACACAAAATATTAATTAAAATTAGTAGAAGTATATAACAAATTAATTAAGAATTATAAATTTATATTTTTAGATAACGTGTTATATAAAAAATGACTTAGAAGTATTGTCAAACAAAATCTTATCATGCACCTGGCCTTCTTGATCCGATTGTTATAAACCATGTTGTAAGTGCACTCCCAACACAGGAGCTTGGTTTCAAATCCCTTCACCTCCAAAAGTTGTAACCTGCTCAAAAAAAAGAAAAGAAAAAAAAAAATCTTACCATATGAAGAGTTTAAGTTCCTGGCCACTGATGCCACGAAGACCATTCCTTTTTGGATTTGGATCCAAAAGTGCTTACAACTGCATTGCAAAAACATTCTGAATCCTCCATTCTCTTAAAAACTCGGCCGTTGGCATTGCATGGATGATCAGAGGCAGAATCTAGAGGCCTTTTTTTTTTGGTACACAAGATTTGAAAAAACAAAGCAGAAAAACTAAGACCGAGGGAACAACGTCCCTAAGGCATCCCTATTAAGAATACTGTCAATTCCACTGGAGGCTCTGGAAACATAGTGATACCATGAGAGAAGTTTTGGCCAATAGCAACCATATAGTCTGCTGCAAAGTTGCCCTCCCTAAAAGTATGCTGCACATGATACTCAGAAAACGTTCTTAGAAGATGAAGAATGTCAGAAAACAGGGTCCAAGCTAAGCCTTCCACCCCTTTCTTTGCCTGAAGCATGTGAACCACTAGAAAAGAATCCATTTCCAAGATCAAATGGGTGATTCCGAGATCAGATGCCATGCGCAAACCTTCTCTGCACCCCTAGAGCTCTGCTATAAAACTGGATTGATGCCCAATGCTCAAAGAAAAACTATGAACCCAACGACCTTCATGATCTTGAATCAATTCGCCAGCACTTGCTTTTGTTGTAACATGATTCATGGCCCCATCTAGATTTAACCTAAAGAAAGGAAGATCGGGAGGGTGCCATCTTACCTAACAAGAGACTAGAGGACGACTTGAAATCTACGTAGCCAGTGCTAATCTGGTGTTCATAGCTAAGGAAGTAGCCTGTTGAAGCACAATTTGGGGTGGAAGCCGCTTGTGTTCAAAGATCAAAGCATTTCTACTCTTCCAGCTGTACCAAAGAAGGGCTAGGAACAACATGGACCATAGCTGACGAGGCTCTCTAGTTGAAGAAGTGGAAGTTGCATTTTGGTAAAGCCAGCCATCTAAGTCCACGTTAAAGAAGTTTGTTGGCAAAGGTGTATCCAGACAAGAATAATAGCAATCTCTTAGTAGATGCAATGGAGTCTCTTGATCTTGTTCGCATCTTGGACACATGGGTGAAGATGCAAAATGTCGTTCAAATCTAAGGGAATTGTGAATAATCTTCCTCTCCATAGAAGCCAAATAAACATTTTTATCTTCTCAACACAATGCAATTTCCAAATCCAACTCCAATTCCGTGAATGGGTATGCATATTAATGGACTGATTTTGCAACAAGTGAAAGGTAGATTTTACTGAAAAAACTCCAATATGTGAGCCCGCCCAGTACATCCCATCCTCTTGATGTCCGAAAGATGGTAATGGTAAAGCTGAGATTTGTTCAACCACCAACTCTGGGAGAAGTTGCTGTAGTACCTAAAAATCCCAAGTCCTATCTGGCTTAATTACATGAGAAACAAGAATATCAATCTGGTCTTCGAGCACTGGAAGTAAAGCAGCATCCAACAAAGGCTTGTTGCTGACCCAAGCATCTTGCCAAAATCTGATCTTTTCCCCAATACCAACTCTCCACCGAAGGCCTAACCGTAAGACATCTCTACACCGTAAAATACTCTTCCATGTAACAGAGGAAGTTGAGTTAATGTTGCAAGTCATGAAAGTTTCATGTTGAAGGTATTTTTGAGTAAAAGCCTTGCACCATGGCTTCTCTAGGTTAGATAGCAATTGCCAACCAAGCTTTGCTATTAAAGCCCGATTATTATCCTTAGCCGGACGTATCCCAAGACCCCCTTGAGTTCTAGGTAAGAAAATAGAGTGCCAATTAATAAGATGGGGTTTATTTGCCACATCAGACCCCCAAAGAAAATTCCTATTCAATTGATCAATAGAAGCACAAACATAATCTGGAAAAAGTATTGACTGCATTGTGTATGTTGGTATTACAAAAGTAACTGATTGAACCAGAACCCTTCTCCCTGCCATGCTCAACAGTTTTTGTTTCCAGCTGGATAGCTTTACTTGAATTTTCTCAAGTAAGTGCTTATAAGTATCTTTTGTTTGCCTTCCATGTAAAATGCAAACTCCCAAGTACATACCCATATCACTTGTTAAAGGAATTCCACAAGCATTACTGAGAGACGTTACTACATGCCTTTGTATATTCTACGAGACATAAAGCTTAGATTTAGCTAAATTAATGTCTAACCCAGATTCCATTGAGAATTCTCTTATATAGTCCATGACCACTTCCACTTGGTTTGAGTTGCTGTACAAAAAAGCATGAGATCATCGGCAAAAAAGAGATGTGAAAGCTTTAATCCTCCTCTAGAGATTTTGAATGGTTGCCATATTTGGGATTGCACGTGGCTTTGAATTTTGTGAGAGAGCTTCTCCATAACCATAATAAAAAGATAAGGGGATAGAGGGTCACCTTGGCGTAAGCCTCGCTGTGGTTGAAAGGAAGGTAACTCTTCCCCATTCTAGAGAACACTTAGTTGCAAAGAGGATACTGAGAACATAATCAATTGGATGATGGGAGTTGGTAAATTAAAATCTTCCAGAACTAAACGAGGAAAATCCCAATCAACACTATCGAATGCCTTATGAAGATCGATTTTGAAAGCAAGAGCACCCTTTTTACCTCTTGACCTACCCATTGAATGGACAGCTTCCTAAGTGAGAAGGATATTATCTACAGTGCTTCTCTTGGAAGAAAACTACTTTGAAAAAGCCCAATTAAGTGTTGTAATAAGGGCCTTAATCTGTTCACAATAACCTTAGCAAGCACCTTACAAGCCACATTCAATAAACAAATAGGACGAAATTTTTGAATAACATCAGCATTTTCACCCTTTGGTCTGAGAACTATGTAAGCCCGAAGCAACGAAAGTTCAAAGTAGCCATCTAAGAGAGTACGATTGATGAAAGTCAGCAAAGTATCAGAAACTACCTCCCATGCTTTCGGTAAAAGATAGGCTGAATACCATCGGGACCCAAGCTTTTAAGAGCTTTCATAGAGAAGAGTGCAGATCAAACTTCATCTAGGGACACAGGCAGTAAGAGAGTAGCACTCTCTTCATCGGACAACCTCGGTTGAAAAGTAGAATAATCCAAATGAGAAGACTGAGTATTATTCCTCAAGAAAAGCTCAACAAAGAAATCTCGAATGTGATGTTGTAAAATAGAAGGATCTTGTACCCAACTTCCGTCAATTTTCAAGGCCGAAATTCTATTTCGACTGCTCCGAATTACAGTGGTTGCATGATAGAAGCTAGTGTTTTTGTCACTCGAAGCAATCCATTCCACACGTGACTTTTGACACCAAAACAACTCTTCCGAATGAAGAACACGATGGTACTTTGTTAATAACTCATACTCCAGATTCTGCAAGAATCTAGAAGAAGGATAATGGATAGAATTCTGGATACCCGCCAAATGACCCTTTAAATGCCTTTTCCTACAAAAGAGATCACCAAACACCTCCTTGTTCCATTGCAAACATCTCTCTTGGACGAAATTTATGGCATTTACAATTGAGGATCCATGTGTAGCCTAAGCATTTGTAAAAACTTGACCAAAATCATCATGGGTTAACCAAGCAGCTTCAAAACATAAGGGTTTAGATACCTTACATAATAAAGGGGGAGTATCCAAGCAAAGTAGGAGTGGATGATGGTCACTGCATATCCGTGGGAGATTGATCACCTTAGCATCCGCAAAAGATTCAAGGGCTAAAATATTAAAAAGTGCTCTATCCAACCTTTCTCGCAAGAGTACTCTACCATGTTGTTTACAAACCCAAGTGAACTTGCAACCCAATGGATCAGTGGAGTGTAAGCCACAACTTGAAACTCTGTCTCAAAATCCTTGGGTACGAGCAAAGCCCCTTATTGCACGAGGAGAAACTTCATCAACTGTTAGAATATCATTGAAGTCACCCATCACTACCCAATTTTCGGTTATTTGTGAGGCAATCTCCCTTAACTGACACCAAAATATGTCTTTTTGAGTAACATGCGGCTAAACATAGACAAAAGTAAACAAACAAGTTACTTGCTGCTGAGAGACAACACAATGAATAAGTTGCGAAGAACTATGTAAAACATCCAAGCACACTGTAGATGAGCGCTAGAATAACCAAATACCACCAACCATGCCTTGTGACAAAACCTGATGGTCCCTATCGAAACCAAAAGGCCTCATGAAATTTAAAGCAGTTGTAAATGAATCTGCTTTAGTATCAAGAAAACAAATTATATCAGGATAGTGCATCATAATGAGCTCTTTACATTCTCTTCAAAAAGGGCCATTCTTGACCCCTCTGCTATTCCAAGTGACAACTTTCATTGGGAATAGACTGAGGATGGGAGGGCTGTGGTTGGAGAAACAGCCAGAATGTGCACTTGACCGACATGCTGCGATAAAAGAGAGGACTCTGATGGAGTAGTGATTTGTTGAGGATGTGTTGCAACTATTTCAGAAAGAGTCGAAACAGGGACTGCAGCTTGGGCACTAGATTGCGAAGGGGCTAATAAAACATGGCATAAGTGATGAAGACATGGATGGATGAGAGACCAACAAGACAGAATTGCCTGATGAGCTTTGTACGGTTGATTGGATTGAAGGCAGCATTGTGTCGTGTGAGGTAAATGTTTCTTGAGTGCAGGAGGCAATTCATAAGGTTTATGAGTGGAGATTTTGGTGTCTTTAGGTATTGGGCCTAAAGTCTTACCTTTCCTCTTGGATGGTTTGGCATTGGGCTTGACAAACATTGTTGATGGAGCTGGAGGAGGAGTTGGTCCCACTGTTTGTTGGGAACAGTTTTGGGTTTGTGTAGTTTTATAGGCTTCAGGAATTGGGCTGGGAGCTACGTCCATGGGTGCCACAACCTCGTTTACTTTTGAAGATTCTCCTGCCAAAACGTGCAGACCATTAAGGGCATGTAAAAGATCCGTTTCCTTATCCATCACCTTCGCAAATACCTCGAACCGGTTTTGCTGCGAATTAGACTCCTCACAACGCCTATCATGTTTAGTAACTACCACAGTTTTTGCCAAGATTCCTGCTTTTGTGACAGCTGGGACCTCCGATGATCGAATGTAGCTTTTGTTAGTAGCCTGAGACTGGCTGGAATTAACCTGACTTCATCGCCATGACTTACGCTGCTGCACCATCCATGGGCCAAAACCCATATTATTCTCCACCATTTCTAGCTTCAAAACTTGAGTGAGCTCTATCATGGCTTGAGTGCTTGGGTTTCCAAAAATTGCTAACTTCTCAGGATTCTTGTAACGGCAGGAGTCCTCCGTGTGCCCAAACTCACCATAGTGGAAGCAGATCTTATGTAGACTTTCATATTCAACTGGAATGAGAATTTGGGGCAAATCCTCCAAATCTAAGTCCACTGAGGATGGCAATTGTTGACTGAGATCCACTTCAATGCAAACACGGGCAAACTTCTCTCTGGTCCCTCACAAAGTGACGCTATCCACCTTAATTGGCTTGCCGAGTTTGCTAGCAAGATATAGAACAATGGCCTCTTGATAGCACATACTGGGCACACCATGAAACTTAACCCACACAGCAGTTTTGGGGGCTTTTGATGTAGCTGGGTGAAAACTTGGCTCCTATGGCTGCATAGCCAAGTAATGATCAAAAAATTTATAAGGACCTCCGGTCAAAACTCGGGAGCAATTTTCTGGTGTAACAAATCGCACTATAAAGTAGCCCATACCAACATCAATAACCTCAAACTCATGCTCCGTTCGCCATTCTTTGAGTAATCTGGAATGAAGAACATGGAAATTGATGGATTTTCCCAAAAGCTTTATTATTACTGCGTTCTTACATGGGGCACATAGCCGCTGCCAAATAGATTTGGGAATCCTGACTTTAGGGACCTTTGTTTGCGATGGTTCTGCTCCATCATCTATCATCGGAGACTCTGGATTTGCAGCAACTAGCTCTTCATATGTCACCAGTGGCGGAGTAACAGATGAATTACCAGTAATAAGCGTGTCTCAAAATGATTTAGATGGGGGTATATCTCCAGGTGGTTGGATAGGAATCTCGACTGGGCTGGGAGGGGTAATAGGTTGAGGATCAAGAGAAGTTGCAAGTATATCAGGCAACGGTGGCGGAGGAGGGGGTGGGATGCTCGGCACTGACGGCGGTGGGTTGAGAAAAACCTAGGAACTCATAATTCAGAGGGGTGGGATCAATGATTTATTTCCCCATGAAATTAGCTAAATAGGTGAGAACGTCCAATAGTTTTAAACACTCAGAGTGTCTAAATGAGAGGCCTTTGGTCATCATTTAGGATTGCAATTTCATCGTTTTCATTTTTCCCTTTCTGTTTCCTTTTGTCCCAAAATGTTCGAAGATATAGTAGATATCAATCAGTACTAAGTCTAAATGAAAAATATTTTTTACAATCAGAACAATACAGCAAAGCACCTTTGTGCCTTAATTTGTAGAGTGTCAAAGAAATAGCAGATATCAATCATCTGGTAACATATGTAGTTTAAATTTTCTCAATTATCTTAATTTCCTCCATTATCTTAAGTGAGTTCGAGAAGTATACTATTATTATCTTTTACTCTCTCCTTCGTGCAATCTTTCTAATATTGCCATTATAAGGATGAGATAATCTGAACTTGTAGAGAGAAGAAAAAAAAAAAAAAGAGAGGAAACATTACTAAGGAAGAAGGGATAGAGGAAACCGTTTTTCAACTTAGAGCCAATTAGCAATAAAATAAACCAAGCAATTAAAAACATATGACATTAACCGAAAAAAGAGGGTAGCAATAACTCCATACCCAATGTTTTTGAATCATATTTATGAAGTAGGGGTCTTTTTTTTTTTTTTTTGGTAAATCATTCTAGTAGTGAAAGTAGCATTTCTTAGCCAAGAATACGTAGAATATGAAACCAAGATCGTTTACGCTGTACCCAGAATCCAAAGGATAATCCAACAATAAGAAAATAATTAGATGGAAGGTAATGTTGATCCTAACTGACTCTACACCAGGATTCCAAGGGCAATAATAAACTAGATATTACAGAAATATGTACAGCAAAATTTGCAGTGACAACAATTAATGTCAATTTTTCATCTTCTTTGTGAACTTCTTATCCTTCTTATCCTTGACAACTAAATATCTCTTCACATCTTCCTCATCATCACTTCCACCCCTCCTCTTCTTGCCTCCACTTTCCTTCATTCTCTGCATATGTTTCATGGCTGCCAGTCACAATTTTCATAAAATATAAAAATCAAATTAAATAAAGCCAAAGTTTACTTAAATTAGGAAATACCATCTGTGATAATCTTTTGGCTTCTGTAACACTTTCAAGTAATAGCAGCACTTCCTCTTCTTGTGCAGGATACTCATGAAACTTTTTTCCTGCAATATAATGAGATATGTAAGCATCTTGCAAAATAATTCTGTGCAACCCTGAAGCAAATATGGCATGAATGACATACCATTGCTTCTCTATCCATATATACCACTCCAGCTCATACTGATTTACCAGTGATATTGCAACACCTGATCGCCCTGCACGAGCAGTTCTTCCTACTCGATGGATATAATCCTGTTACCCATTTGGAGTCAGTGCACTAGAGATGGCAGATTAAGCCAAAGAATCAGAAATATTTGCATACTTTAATGGACATATTACATTGAAGGTCCATCCATACATTGGAGCTAAATGCACAGTGGAAATGCATGCAATGGCCCAAGTAATTTAAAATAAGATCTATTAAGAAAAAATGAGGGAGTAAACCTATTGCCTTACCTTGGAGTTTGTAGGGATATCATAATTAATAACCATATCCACGGATGGAATATCAAGTCCTCTACTTGCCACATCAGTGCAGACACGAACATTATATTCCCCAGACTTGAACTTATTTAAGGCTCCAAGTCTCTTTGACTGTCAATTATGTTCCATTAATGAAGGGCAGATATAATTTGAGGCAGCATAAAAAGGATGGTGGGAAGGAAGAGAATAGGCTTCAGATCTGCATAGAAAATCAGCATTTGTGTAACATACCTGAGTCATTTGGCCACTAATGGGAATGGCTCTAATATTAAGATTTCGAAGAATCAAAGCCAGAAGGTGAGTTGCGTCACATGTTCAAGTGAAAACCATAGATGTACACCCAGACATCTTCGTCAAAATATATACTAGATAGCAGTCCTGAAAGAAGAAAAGATGTTTATAAGCATAAACAAGGCAGCACCAACAAATAGCCTAGAAATACTAAGAATAAAACAATGAATAAATGTCCTTTCACTTGCAATATTTTCTTTAGGGAAAAAAAGTAGAACAACAAACAATCATTTTGAATGACTGCCAGTGTCACTTTTTGCTGGACATTTAAAATTAGAAACTCAGCATGAATCACATGTTTATCTTGCCTACTAACAAAAAGCACATAAAGAATGTTAAGAAACCATCTTATGACAAATACATGTGTGCTTTTTTAAAATCATCTACCTTACCATACTTAATGACCTTTAGGGAACTATGATTAAAAGATCCCATTTAAGTTCAGTATTTCACCAAAAGGTTCTCCTCAATGCCTATTAAGTTAAATCTTGTATAAGTATCAAATTATCAATGTAACATAACCCTTGATTGAATGGACTGGAAAAAATGATTCACACTGCTGATCCCAACTATTTTGAAACTAAGGTTCAATTTAGTTGAATTGGTCATGAAACCAATTATGAATCACCAGCCATGATAGTTTACAAGCATAATTATCTATATAACAGCAGACATCTTGAATTAAATTCAATGCTGAGAAGAGAAAAACCTTGTACTTAGTGGGTATAAAGCGATACCGCTGCTTCAGTGCGTCAAGAGTGGAATATTTTGATGCTGCTTCAATCTGAAAACCAAATGCAAAAACTGACAAATGTTAGTGTCAAAGGCAAATAATATAAAGAATGCCAATGATGTGCAGACATATTATCCTCAAACCTTCACAGGATTCCTTAGACAGGCCCTCTGAAGCTTTCGCACCTGTAAAAGAATATTATTGTCAAACTAAACCTTTCTCCAAGTCAAATTAGAATATCCATATAGTTAGATAAGACTACAATATTTTCTATGTGCTTGACAGTCTTTCCTTTTTCCCCCATGCCCAAAATATATATCATTTTCATAAAACTTTCAGTATCAGGTGGTCTTCATCCACTTTAATATAACTTCTTATATTCCATTTAGATCATCTGAAGTAACATAAGGGGCTGAAAACATACACCTAGAACATAGAAAGACTAGACTATACTCAATCTGAAATGCTTTCTATCATAATCTGGTGAGATATTTTTGGATAGGAATAACTATGCTCATTTAGAAAATCATGAATAGAATACAAATATCACAGTAAAATGCATTAAATGAAAAGAACAATAAGCACTAGATACTGATTTTGGAGTAAAAAGAGTAAGCATTACCAGTATACCAGCGTAAAGTAGTATGCACCAACAGCAAGGCATGCTTCAGTCTAAATATACATTCTAACTACTTTATATCTATCCCTTTTTTGTCCTGGTTGCAGAAAATAAGTGCGCCTCTCATGTGGGATAGCATCCAGAATATCATTGAGTGATTTCTCAAAGTCTTCATTTAGCAATCTGTCTGCCTCATCTAATACCTGCCAAATGCATTCACATACAGCATCAGAAACTAAGGCCAAAAAAAGAAAAAAAAAAAAAAAGAAAAGAAAGGAAAAGAAAAGAAATAGCGTCATTAGTAACTTTATAGGCTGAGGAAAACTTGTTATCATGTTGTACACTCATCCAATATCATCATTATCATAAAAAAGCAGAAGTTTAATGGTACAAAAAGAATTTAAGAAATGGCATAAGCATAACCACAGAACATGCTAATCCAATAAACATCTACTAAATTCATAGCATACTGATATGGATTTGCATAAGCAAAGGAGAGGGCAGACAGGGCAAACAACTAAAACATCAAGTTCAATGTCCTATTCTACTAGATAACACTACAAGAAGCTACTTAAATAGCTCAAAAAGGAAATCAAAACAAAAGTAAAAGAAAGAGAGAAACCATATGGAAGTTTCACGAACTATAGCAGTAACAGAAGAGGAAAAAAATGCATTCTTTAAACAGCCGCAGATTATTGAATGTGGTGGTTATAAGAGGAAAAGAAAGAAGAAACTCCGATCATATACTTCAACATGCGAAGTGAAAAACCTTTTGTATTCGACAGATGATCAACAACATGTCCAGGTGTCCCAACCTACAAGTAAAAAAAGTTATTAAATCTAAGCATTGTAGAAGTGAAAGAACAAGTATAAATCTTTTCCATAACAAGGAAGGTTGAATAAGGGAGAAGAAAAAGTAATCTCAGCTGATGAACTTACAATAATATGTGGCCACTTTCCAAGAGCAATTTGCTATACTGCACCATGTCTACACCTCCAACAAGCTTCCAACATTCAAAAACGTTACAGACAAGATGATAGCATCAAGAAAAAATAATGTCGCTTCACTAGAAAATTCAATCAACCAAAATACAATGGAACTTCAATATCAGTACCTTAGCATCGAAAGCTCAAGTGGAAATCTGTCCTGTTATCTACAAACTCATTTAAAAATTAATAAAGCTAAGCCTTTTATCTTACCACTGCACACTTAAGGCCAATCCCAGATCCTAAAGCTTCAAACTGCTCAGCAATTTGAAGTGCAAGCTCCCTGAGGTGTGTTTACCGCAGCCACAGAAAGAAAATAAATTAAGAAACCTTTGACATAATCCAAACATCTGCTCTATGATCAAATTATAAGTTCAGATGTTACCTTGTCAAAGAGAGCACACAAGCAAAGAATACCGGAGAAGATTTATGTTCCTGTTTAGAATGATAGTCTAGAAGTGATTGCAGTATGGAAAGAGCAAAAGCTCCTGTTTTGCCAGAACCCATTTGTGCAAGTCCAATCAAGTCTTTACCTACAATACAAATTTCCTGAAAACCATCAACAATCAATTGAATTCTCAGGTGAAACAAAGGGAGGACTTAAGTTGAAGGAAACTAACCTTCGAGCGCATGGGGAATGGCTTCTATCTGTATTTTTGTTGGGGTTTTCCATCCCAAACTTTCGCATGCTTCTACCAATTTGTCGCACAAACCCAGAGCTTTAAATGACTTGATTTCTTCCTTTTCTTCAGCCACAACTTCTACATTCTCTTCAGACATTTTCAGCTTTCAACAAGCCACCGATAAGATTATAGGACTAGAAAAACTATGTGAGATAACTCAGTAAGTAAAAATATGGGTAAACCTTATTTAAAATTTAAAGCATGCCAGATAAAAATTAAAACTTAAACCAAAGGAAAAATCTCAGAAATAAACCAGTAATACATAGTAAAACTCATTAGTAGTCTCCTCAATTAGTCATAACCAGTATTTAACAAAATCAAACCAATGTACTATCCCACTGGCAGGAATAACAGAAATAACCAGTGTACCATCCCACTAACGGGAATAACCAGTGTACTATACCACTGGCAGGAAGAACAGGAATAAATCAGGACAAACCGGTGTTCCCTAAACCCTTATTGATTTAATCAAGATTCTTTTCTTTTTAATTTCGGTCCATTATTCCTGGGTTGGGTTAAGCCAACCCATAAACAAAATCCATTCACCGAAATGGGCAAAAACAGATCAATTGCAATCACAAATTGGAGAATATAGGTTCTTCAGCACTCCTTCAATTTCCAGGAAAATTTGCAGAAAATGAGTCACACGAAGGTCCGAAAATCTTCCTAAATATATCAAACTCAAACCTCAATCATCCATCATACCAAAAAACCAAGGAAAATACGCAAAACAAATTGAAATGAATTTTTATTGCAGTTAATATAAAATAAGCTATATCGATCTGAACTCATAACTATCGACAATGAAGCATCCAAGGCGGAGATTGGAAAGCAAACTCAGGCTTGGATCATTGGATACCCCACCCACGGGGTAGTTCCTCAAATCCTCACCAGATTTGTTTCCCAAACCCCTCTGTTTTAGAAGTATACCAAAACGAGCTGGAGATGAGTGTCGGAAGTAACCCAAAGGAGCTTCGAAAACTCGCCGGAAATGGACACCAAAGTAGCAGAGATGACAGGAAACAGAGGGGGCCGGCAATTGAAAGAAGAAAGGAGAATCCCAGGGGCTGTCGATGATGACGCGCGGCTGCTGTGAGGTAGAGACGATGATCTGCTGCTGAGGGGATTGTGTAATGCCGATGAAAATGGTCCAGAGGAATTAGATCAGTGATGTAAGAGCGGAAAACAGATGATCGGAGGAAAGGCAGGGAACCGGTGACGGAAAGAGAGAGAAGGAATAAAAGGGGGAAATCCTTGTTTTTTGGGTCTGCCGCCTGCGTGTTTTTTTTTTTTCGTTCCTCTTAAGAAAAAAAAAAAAAAAAAAAAACGAGGGTTTAATTCAATGTTACCATTACAATACCAGTATATGCATCAATTTTATTATTAAAATGATACATACTAGATGTTTGAATTTTTCTCATATTATTTTAGATTTATCATTATAAATATTAAAATAATTATTTTTTTTTTGTATGATCATTCGGTATCCAGAAGCCCATTGAACTACTGAACTAATCCAGATTCGAGCAGGGCAGGACTCAATGGGTGGCAAAGCTCTTCCTCATGAGTTTTAACGGAGCTGCATTCCCAGAACTTGAACTCAAGATCTCTGGTTAAGCTGGAAGAGTCCCCCAACTCATCCATCCACTCATGGGTATAAATATTAAAATGATTATAAAAACATATTACATCAAATTTCCACAAATCAATAGTTACCCATGTGCGCTAGAAAAAAAAAAAAAAAAGCAATTGCCATCCATATTACAATCATAGAAACAAACACCCAAACGAGTTCATTATAGGGGCTCTACAATTATTTCTGTCAAGAGATAATTATAAACAAACAATGAGCCTAAGCAGGATCATCTATTTTAGAAGAGGAAGATCCAATAGAGTGACCTATAACAGTACCTGAACCACTAGTATTCATAATGATATCCTACAAAGACAATCACCAAGGGAAAAAAAACAAAAAATTACACAACAAAAATTAAATGGAAAATAACAGGAATAGAAACTACAAAGAAATATATCAGGCGAAAAAGCAAGAAAAATGCATGCAAAATGCAGAGAAATAGAAAAGGAATAACAATCACCCACTACTAAACATACACATAATCACCCACTACCATTAGTCAAACTGTTTCATGAATTTGAATCAAGCACACCAGGAAAAAAAAGCCAGAAAATGCATGCAAATTGAAAAATGCAAAAAAATAAAAAAGGATGAACAATCACCCACTGCCAAACACAAACACAATCGTCCACTGTCACTGGTCAACCTCTAAGAATCTGAAATTCTAAATCGAAAAAGAAAAGGAAGAACAATTAAGATTTTCACTCTTACCTGAGAGACAGAGCTAGGCTACTAGAGAGTAGTGCAGAGATACACAAATCACTCTCCAAGATCTAAGGCTCGGGAAACCACAAATGGAAAGAGAAAGCAGTGGCAGCAAAGCCTCCTCTAGCCCACCAACGACGAGTTTAGGATGAGGTTCATGAAAAAGGAGGAGAACATAATAAAGATCTGTAATATGAAATTACAGGGGTTAATGTTAATTAAAAAGCTCTTAGTCAAAACGATGTCATTTTGGCTAAGGAATCCTTTTCTTTTTCTTTAATTTGGACATAAGGTGTACCAGTTAAATTTTGGAGTACCGACCAGTGCACTAAATTTCAGCTAGTACACTAAAATTTGACAGAAATTCTTGAAATTTGACCAAAACGAAATTTAACCTTATACCATTTTCGTCAACTTAAAAAAACCAATACGTGCCAATTGTACCAATCGATACAAAATGATACTGACAACATTGGTTTTATTGTTTGTAAGGGTAAGTCTGAGGTGCCCAACCTCGGACGTACAACAGTAATTCCTTTATGACCGAAGTGAAGGATAAATCCAAAGCTTCCCGCTCAAACAGCTGCATGACAGCGACAATAAGCACGCCCGCACCTGATTCTTTATGATGAGCTGTACAGCAGTTATGATGGACACCCTTGCATTTGAATATCTCTCAAATTCCTGGTCCCGAAATAATCGTTTGGATAGACACGTCAGGTTCCGATTATCTTGCTTGGCATGCCACGTGGGTTCCTCACTGGAGCCTATAAATACCCCCCAAGGGCCACGTCAAAAAGGTAATTGAAATCAACCCTAAGCTCCTTTTATCTTCGCTCTAAAGGTAGCCCCGATTATTGCTGACTTAAGCATCGGAGTGTCTACCCCAAGTTCCACCTTGGGGCTTTGCAAGTCAATCCGGAGTGCAAACGCGGACTGAAGAAAGAGTTCTGGTTTGGTGCAATTACATTTGGCGCCATATGTGGGAAACCGAACTGAAAGTTCCCTTGTTGCTCTTATCATGGTTAATACTCAATCAGTCTGAGCTAGAAACTCATCTCAGCCTCTTGGACGAGGTCAGGTCCCCAACAACCTTCCACCTCACCTCCCACCTCCGATCCCAAATATGTTCCCTCTTGCTGATCATGCAGAAGGAGGAGATGAAAATCAACCACACAACTCAGCCCATAACTCAGCTTCCACCGCCAATCAGGACGTAGTTGCAGCTCAGCTTGCTGCCATGCAACAACAGTTTGGTGTTTTTCAGCTAGTATTGGCTTAGCTCTTAGCTCGGAACAACCTTGGTGATCCCCTCATCAATTTACTTAACCCTGCTCCACAACACCCAGCTCCACAACAAAACCCTAAACCAGTTCAACATGCTCTTACTCTTAGTGAATCTTAGGGCCAATCCCATATAGCACCAGCTCAGCAACCCCTTCTTGATGATGTCACTCGACGTCTAAACAGCTTAGAAAAGCTAGTAGCTGAACAGAGAGGTGCCCCACCTCCACACCATGCTATTGACTCCATACCCCACCCTTTGAATACCAACATCACACTGGAACCCTACCCTGCTGGCTTCAAGATACCCCAGCTTGAGACTTATGATGGGACGAAGGATCCCAATGATCACCTACATGCTTTTTACTCTTGTATGCAAGCTCAGAACGCCTCTAACACGTTGATGTGCAAAATCTTTCCCTTTACTCTTCGAGGTAATGCTCGAACCTAGTATTACAGTCTACCTCTGAGGTCAATCAGCTCTTATACAGAAATGGCATTTGCTTTTGCCACAAAGTTTTCCTAATAGCCACAAAGTTTTCTAGTAGAAGGTTGATTAGGAAAACTATTTCTGAGCTGATGCGAGTTAAACAAAGGGACGGAGAATCTCTAAAGCATTATATGAGCAGAATCTCTGAAGCATTATATGAGCAAATTTAATGATGCAATATTGGAGGTTAGCTCCTTCGACTAAGCTGTGGGAATTACAGCCGTGGTCTCAGGTCTTAACCATGAGAGATTCAGAGATAGTTTGATCAAACACCCTGCCACCACCTTTAGCGAGGTGAATGATAGGTCTCTGAAATTTATAATTGCTGAGGAATATGCACTGTCACAAAACCCAACTCCCTCTAAGAACCAAAACCCAGACTGGAGAGATGAGAATCCGAGCAGGAAATGGATGAAGACTGCACAGAACCGAGGTCCGATGCCGACCTCCACACCGAGATTCGGAAGGCCGAACTCAACACCCCCACAACAGTCTGCAAGTAAACCTCCAGTTAATTGGACCCCTTTTAACCTGCCGAGGTCATAGATTTTCATGCAGATTAAGAACAAAATGGACTTAAGGCGTTCGAGTCCAATGAGAACTGCTGCTACTAGCCGAGATCATACTAGATATTGTGATTTTCATCAAGATCACGATCATACAACAGAGCAATGCAACAGTCTAAGGTCCGAGCTGGAAAGTCTAGCTCAGAAAGGAATGTTGCATGAGTACATCTAGAGAATAGAACAGCCACGGTTTGTCAGAGAACAGGGACCACAGCCTCAAGGAAACTGCAATCCACCGAACAGACAAGGAGTGGGACATCAACAAGCCCCCCTTCCACTTCCACCACCAGCCAGAATTATACACATGATTACAGGAGGATTGGAAGCAGGAGGGATGAGCTCCAAACAAAGGAAGTTATATGTCAGAGAGGTCAAGCGCTAGAACCGAGCTCAGAAAAGGAAAATTGATGATGCTGAATGGAAAGATCAACCAATCACTTTTACACCTGCTGATTTTGAAGGGGTGATAACACCTCACAATGATCTTTGGGTCATCTCTGTAATGATCAACAATTGTCAAGTCCAGCATGTACTTATTGACATTGGCAGTGCACCTGATATCATGTACTACCACTATTTTGAGAGCCTAGGGCTCGACCCAACTCTGTTACAACGATATGATGGTCCCATATATGGCTTCAATAACCAACCAGTTCCAGTTGAAGGGATCCTAACTATGAATGTTGCGTTTGGAAGTGGCCGAACCTATGTGACTCCCTCAGTTCGGTTTCTGATGGTCAAGATGCCTTCTTCTTTCAATGTTGTCATTAGCCGACCCACGTTAACAGAGATCCGAGCTATGGTCTCTCAATCTCATCTCTGCATGAAACTTCCAACCTCCATGGGCATAGCAACACTCAGAGGCAATCAGGAAGTAGCTAGACATTGTTATCATACTTCGATCACGAGGCCACAAAAAGACAAAGACCAACCAGCAGAAAATCCTCCATAGGAAATCCATGACAATTGGCAAGTGATGGGAGTTGAAATCCTTGATAATTGACCTGAGGATGAAGCCCGAGCTGCTCCGGGTGAAGATGTTGAGGAAGTACAGATTGATGACAGAGATCCGAACAGGAAAACACAGATAGGAACTCAATTCAGTCCTGAGGAGAGAGCAGAGCTAATAACCTTTCTCCGAGCTAACAAAGATGTTTTTGCATGGACCTCAGCAGACATGCCAAGAATTCCCACCTCAGTATCTCAACACAAACTCAACACTAATCCACTCAAGAAACCAGTGGCCCAGAAGCAACACCTCTTCGGGTGGGAGAGGTTAAAGGTCATCAAAGAAAAAGTTGAAAAACTCTTACAAGCTGGCTTTGTTAGACGGGTCAATTACTGTGAATGGGTCGCCAATCCTGTATTGGTGAAAAAAGCAAATGGCAAATGGCGGATGTGCATCGATTACACTAACCTCAACCAGGCATATCCAAAAGACTGTTACCCAATGCCAAACATTGACAAGCTGGTTGAGGCAGCTTCTGGAAACGAGAAATTAAGTCTCTTGGATGCATACTCTGGCTATCACTAAGTCCCCATGGCTCTTGAAGATGAAGAGAAAACATCGTTCTATGCCGGAGATGAAATCTATTGCTACGTGATGATGCCCTTCGACCTAAAGAACGCAGGTGCCACTTACCAGAAGATGGTTACCATCGTATTTCGAGCTCAAATAAGTCGGAATCTGGAAGTTTATGTTGATGATATAGTGGTGAAGAGTTTGAAAGCTAAAGATCACCTAGCTGACCTCGAGGAGACATTCAACAATCTCAAAAAGAACATAATGAGGTTGAATCCAGCAAAGTGCATCTTCGGTGTGGAGTCGGGAAAATTTCTAGGCTTCATGGTGTCCAGAAAGGGGATTGAGGTTAACCCCGAGAAGATCAAAGCAGTAGCCGAGATGGAACCACCGAAATCAGTAAAAGATGTACAGCGGTTGACAGGGAGAGTGGCAGCTCTTCATAGATTCATCTCGAAATCAGTAGATAAATGCCTGTCGTTCTTTAAGATCATGAGATTGGCAGCCCAGAAGGATGAATCTGGCAAACAAAAGAAGTTCGAATGGAATTCAGAATGCCAAGCTACATTTGACTAGCTAAAGTCTTATCTTAGCTCACCTCCTTTGCTGACAAAGGTTGATGATGGAGAAATCCTTTACTTGTACCTCGGCATATTAGATGAAGCTATCAGTTCTATGCTAGTGAGGGAAGAGGGGAAGCAACAAAAGCCAATTTATTAAACCAATAGTGTGTTACATGGAGCTGAAATCAGATACTCTATTGTTGAGAAAACAACCTTAGCAGTTGTCACCTCGGCCAAGAAACTGAGACCATATTTCCAATCGCACCCAATCATAGTCCTCATGAACTAGCCCCTCAGACAAATTTTACAGAAGCCAGAATGCTCGGGAAGATTGATCAAAATGGGCATTTGAACTGGGAGAATTTGAGATAACATTTCTGCAGAGGTTAGCAATCCGAGCTCAGGCTCTTGCAGATTTCATAGTAGAATGCACTTCGGCACACTTTGATTCCCATCCCATGCTGGACAGTTGGATTCTATATGTTGATGGAGCATCAAGTAACAAAGATTCTGGCGCTGGCGCAATCCTACTTGGCCGAGATGGGTACAGAAGTGAACATGCTCTGAAATTTAACTTCGATGCAACAAATAATATGGCTGAGTATGAGGCTCTGCTACTCGATTTGTAGTTGGCAATAGAATTGAAGGTTGCGGCAATACAAATATACAGTGATTCACAACTAGTAGTCAATCAAGTCAACTCAGTCTGTGAAGTGGTTGATCCTGTCATGACGAAGTATGCAACTATGGTGGCCGAGCTAAAGTCCAAATTCCAAAAATTCCATTTGAGCAAAACACCCCGAGCTGAAAATGAGCAAGTAGATTCCCTCTCCAAATTTGCTTCTGATGGCAACCAAAGCTCCAAATCGATCTTCATTGAAGTTCTAGACGAGCCTAGCTTCTTAAAGCCAAAAATGATGGAGATCAGCACAGATCCCAGCACACCAAGCTGGACAGATCCAATTATCTCATTCTTACGAGATGGCACAGTGCCTGCAAATAAACAGGAAGAAATGAGGTTGAGGAAGAAAGCATCTCGGTACACCTTTGTTAATGACGTCCTCCACAAGAGATCTTTCTCACTCTCTCTACTCCGCTGTTTGAACCCTTATGAGGCTAAATACGCACTTTGGGAGGTGCATGAAGGTGTCTGCGGAAGTCACATAGGTGCTCGAACTTTGGCTCATAAAGTCCTTAGACAAGGATCTTATTGGCCCAACATGTATAAAGATGCAACTCAGTTCGTACAGAGGTGTCAGAAATGTCAGTTCTTCGCACACCTAATCCACCAGCCAGTAGAAGAGCTCACTAATCTGGTAGCACCTTGGCCATTTGCTCAGTGGGGACTAGATCTTTTAGGCCCATTCATGAAGGGGGTCGGAGGTGTAACCCATCTGATTGTTGGTGTGGATTATTTTACGAAATGGGTTGAAGTTCAACCATTATCTAGTCTTACCTCCAAGAAGGTCAAAGACTTTGTTTTCAGCTCAATCATTTGCAGATATGGGATCCCAAATCAAATTGTGGCTGATAATGGAACTCAGTTCAATTGCTCCTCATTCAGAGATTTATGCTCCAACTATGGAATCAGACTACAGTTCACCTCGGTGTACCACCCAGAATTTAATGGGATGGTAAAATTCGTCAACAAGGTTATACTTGAGGGGATAAAACCAAGATTAGAGCTGCATAAGGCCAGGTGGGCAGACGAGCTCAACAACGTCCTCTGGGCATACAAAACCATGAGCCGAAGGTATTACTTCAAACCTGGTTTACTTGGTTAACTTTCATATTATTTTACTTCTTTTTCTACGGCTTTACCTTAGATCAAATATGCATAACGCGTAAAGCGCATTCTAAAATTATAATTAACTGAAATAGGTGAAACACCCTATCACCTGGCCTTTGGTATCGAAGCAGTCATTCTTATCGAGATAGGAGTCCCAAGCTTCAGGGTCACCCATTTCGATGAAGGACGAAATGGACAACTGCTTCGAGAGAACCTTGATCTGCTTGACGAAGTCAGAGAGGAAGCACAACTTCGAACTCTAGTTTATAAGCAGAAAATAGCAAACTTCTACAATAAACGAGTTCGACCCCAAACATTCAAAGTAGGAGACCTTGTTCTCAGGAAAGTTGGTATAACGGGTTCGAAACTCGATTCGGAAAGTTAGAACCTAACTAGGAAGGCCCTTACACTATAGCTGAAGTGCTGCACCTAGGTGCTTATATCCTACGAGACACTGAAGGCAAAAAGGTTCCTAGAGTCTGGAATGTCAATAACTTGAAGAAATTTTACCCTTACTTCATTTCTTCCTAGTGAACTTTGTCTTATTTTTACAATTGCCATTATTCTCTCTCTTGTTGCTCAATGTATATACGAGCTCAATTCATTTATATCATTAATGACTTTCACTTCACATTCAAAGTGATTCAGCTCTTTCTACTCTTCTATACATTGGAAGTGAATTTCACTTATTCCTAAAAGTTAATTCCTTGTGACTTAGTTAGTCACTTCACTTTTTGGGTTACGATTTTATTAATCAATTACACCTTACTTTCCCACTCTAGCATCTTGCGCTTCTTCCTCTTCCTCTACGGCCACCAACTCAACATCAAAGGCTGGAGGGAAGATAGTGCGTCCCTCCGCGTGATGTTCCCACCTCAACTTGATCAGAGGTCAAAAGTCAGCAGAAAGACTTTCACCATCCTCCTTCACCCCTTTTTCTTGTTCGCCGAATGTGACTGTCATGACGTCCACTTCGAGATACCGAGCCTTCACCTTCTTTCTACAGTCAGTGAAAGCCAAAATTGCAGTCGGCAACCGGTAGAGGTTGATGATGTTCTCGAAGGTGCTGGAGTTGAGAAAGTTGCCAATGTGCTCCTCCATTCTGTTGTGAACTAGCAGATTCACGTTCTTTTTTAGCTCCACCACTCCTTTCTTCATGTTATCAATGTATTTGTCTTGAGCCTCGAGCTTGTCTTCACAGATCTTCCCCTTACGTTCTTCGAAGACAAGTCTCGTGCTTAAGGTATCATTATCGTTCTGGAGCTCGGTTACTGATGGTAGAACTTCATCCAGTTTCCTTTGTATTTCTTTGTTCTTCTTCAGTAGCTCCTCCTTCTCCTTTTGCAGTTCCTCACACTGCCTCTGCAAGCTGGCACGATCTTTTATGCTTTCCTGCAGAAGTTAGAACTCAAAAGCAAAAACCAAAAAATCAAAAATAAAGTATGAATATACTGTAATTTCTCTACATACCTCTAGGGAGTGCCTCACAACGCGAGCCCCTAGTTGTCTCACTGTCTCATCCCTCGCCTGCCTCCAATCCACCACTGGAAGCGTGGCATTCAGAAACCGCTTTGCCCCAGTGATGTTGGTTGCATCGAATAAGCTCTTCTGGAACGAAGGAGGGGAGATGAGCTCCTTGCCTTTGCTAGGGCCTCACACCTCGGCCTCCTCCCTCTCCCTGACTTCAGGATCAACTTCTAAAGGAGAAGGCCGAGGCACGAACTCAACCACCTCATCCCTTCTAGCTTCTGGCTCTGCCACCTTCCTCTTCTTCCCCTATAGTGGCGCCACCTCCTCACTGCTTCTCCTCATAGGCTTTGGCCTTTGCTGCATCTCCAAAGCCCGAGCAGAAGTGTTGGACAGTCACTCCTTCTTTGCAGCCCCTTTTTCTGCCATAGTTGAAGTCTTTGACTTTTTCCTTGGCTTCTTTGGGATAGCCAGCCCCCCAGCAGCGTTCAGAAAGCCATCCATCTCAACTGCAAAACAAAACATAAATGTCATTACACACCAATCGAAATCTCAACTAAATTGCACAAAACAAAAATACACAAACCTTCGCTCAATGAGCTTGGCCCATAGAGCTCGGCAGCCTTTATCGCCTCTACGCTAGTGAGGTGCATGATATCCACTAACTCCCCTTCTTCCCTCACCAACTTCCCTACTTCCTCCACCTCATCCTCATTCAATTTATAATTGTTCTACTTGGCTTTCTTAACTTTCCAAGCAGACAACTATTCCACTTTAGCGTCCCTCCTACTCAACTTGGTGTCATCCACAAAGAAGAATTTTTCTTTCCATTCTTTAATGGATGACGATCCAACAGTAAATAAACTCATATTCTCTTTGCTGGACGATCGAGGACCGAAGTAGTACCACCCCTTCTCACCCCTACCCCCAGCCCTTATTACAAAGAAATGCTCAAACATATTTACAGTAGGGACCCCAACCTCCCGAGCTCTGCAGTATACTATGAAGCCTATTATTACTCCTATAGCATTTGGGGTTAATTGGGTTATTCCTATACTATAATCTAATAATAACCCAACCAACAATTCTGGAATGGGGAACCTAAGCCCTGCAACCAAATAATGGACATACATGGGCATCTAGTGATCTTGAGGTGTTGAGCATGCTCTCTCATTCACCCCGGCAGGCCTAATTAGCACTTGGTGAAAAATGTTGTAGTTACCCACGAGACCCCTAAGGCTACCCCTGCTACCCAATTCACTCACATACCCCTTCACCTCAGACACTATGTCCAAATTGGGGTCATAACACCTACCCACATTACCCTCAACCTCTATAATATTTGAGGGAATTTCTTCTTCCTCCTCTTCCACTACCCTTCGCTCCCTCCTCTCCTCCATTGTCCTCTCCGAACTAGATGGAGACGGACTACTCTCCGAGTCCATGCCACCATACTCCAGGGGCATCACCTCACTTCCTACTACACTCATTGTCCCTTCCGAAGACATTTCCTCAATTTCTGCATAAAGTAGGAAGAGGAATGGAGTCAGGACCCTTAAAAAACTCTAACACACACTAAATAGCATTCTCACTCCCAACCCTAACTTCCTTCAGAAGACCCAAAATCAAAAACAGAAAGGGAGAAAGGAGAATCCCACTTCGGTAAAATCAAAATTAGAAATTCGTAAACTTTACCAGATTTTGGTCTTGTGAAACTGTTGTTGAAGTCTCAATCAAAGCACAGACCGCACGAAACCGCAAAAATTTAACAAGAATTTGGTAACAAAATAGCGAAAGTAAAAACCCCCTTTTACAGAAGTATTGCCTTTTATACCAAAGGCAAAATACGCCTCAACGGTTGTGATTAACTCCATCTAACGACTACAAAGACACCGTTTTGAATTCGATAGTTAACCCCAAACAGCACCGTTTCAAACTCGACGGTTCGTTTTTTAAATCTACCCGTTAGATTGTTGCAGTTATCTTTTTACAGCCGCATTTATTACGCATGTCATTCAAAGGACAGTTGTCACATCACGTACTGCCTCTTTGTCAGACTTCTTAGACAGGCCCATTTAAGCCCATTTCAACACTCTTGCTCACTTTTATACATTTTAAATTTTGCAAGTGTTTTACTTCAACAACCAACCTGATGGCCCCAGTCATGCTTGTCTCTTCGGCCCCGGCCATAGTGACCCAGCATCACACGTTTTACTTCGACTCCAGCCATAGTGACCCAGTGTCACACGTTTCACTTCCGCTCCGGCCACAGTAACCCAATGTCACACGTTTCACTTCGGCTCCGGCCACAGTAACCTAGTGTCACATGCTTTACTTTGGCTCCAGCCACCATGACTCCGGTCATTACTTTTTATTACGGCTCCGGCCACCACGACTCCGGTCATTACTTTTTATTACGGCTTCGGTCATTATGACTACGACCATTACATTTTTATTACGGCTCCGACCATTATGCCTTCACTCATTATTTTTTGTCACGGCTCCGGCCACTATGACTTCAGTCATCATTCCTTACTATGGCTCCGACCACATTGACTCCGGTCATTACTTTTACCACAACTATGGCCCTGATCACTTCTGCCACATTTTATTTTGGGCATGACCATTATGACCCCCTATCTCATACCTCATTATTAACTACGGTCATACATACATATGAGTTACAGATTTTTATTTTTATCTTTATATTTACTTTTGTAACTCATCTTTAATATCTTCATCTCCCTTCCTTTCTATTTATGCACTACTCCCATTATCTCCACCAACATCATTCACAAGTGAATGACTTCGGGGGGGGAATAGTGTAAGGGTAAGTCCGAGATGCCCAACCTCGGACGTACGACAGTAATTCCTTTATGACCGAAGTGAAGGATAAATCCAAAACTTCCCGCTCAAACAGCTGCATGACAGCGACAATAAGCACGCCCGCACCTGATTCTTTATGATGAGCTGCACAGCAGTTATGATGGACACCTTACATCTGAATATCTCTCAAATCCCCAGTCCCGAAATAACCGTCTGATAGACATGTCAGGCTCCAATTATCTTGCTTGGCATGCCACGTGGGTTCCTCACTAGAGCCTATAAATACCCCCCAGGGGCCACGTCAAAAAGGTAATTGAAATCAACCCTAAGCTCCTTTTATCTCCACTCTAAAGGTAGTCCCGATTATTGCTAACTTAAGCATCGGAGTGTCTACCCCGAGTTCCACCTCGGGGCTTTGCAGGTCAATCCGAAGTGCAAATCCGGACTGAAGAAGGACTTATGGTTTGGTGTAATTACATTGTTGGTTTAGGCTGGTTTTCTTACGAAGCTAGATTGGCACTAGATTGGGCTAGCTATATGGATGAGATGAGTTTTAAATGAGGATGTGCTAGGCCTCAAAGCTTTTGTGTGTCTTTTGTAATTTAACCTCCAACTTTGAATTTCTTCGATTGAGTTCCTTTCTAGAATTTCTCTTTTCAATCTCTTCATAAATTTTCCTTTTTGCATGTAGAACCTAAAACAAAATAAAGATATATTAGTTAAAGAAAAGACAAAAATTCATATTTTTATATTTTTGTGTTTTGTTTTTGCATTTTATAATTTTTTTGTGATTTTCTTGATTAATTTCAAATTTTTATATTTTTTAATGAAAAACCCAAATAAATTGAATGAAAAATCAAGTTATAACAATTTTGAAATGAAGGGAATAGATGATTTTACTCAAGACATCGAGCAATATATGCATAACTAAGTATAAAGAGCCATTGGAAACTTGGTCTTCTTATTTCATGCTATAGGTTTTCCTTGGTGTTGCCTT